AAAAAAAAATTATAATAATAAAATGAAAAGGTACTGCAATAAAAAAACAAAAGGTTGAAAGAAGTCCCTGTAGCCTGCAATTTTAAAAGGGAGACCAGTCCTTTATTATATAAAAGACAACCTTTTTATGCCATAGGGCCTAATGGAACATTATTGATTCAGAGCGGAACAAATGCACTTTAACCCTCCCCACCAACATCCCCCTTTTAACGGACCTGATGTGTGTAATGCACGTGGAAATGATTTCCACATTAACTAAATGACGTATACTTGACAGGCAGGCCTAATTCAAGGTAAAAAAACAAAACTTTTGCTCCTCACACTCCCTTAGCAACATCCAAAATACGCCAGTGGAAATAATGCGTCATTTTTATTTAATCTTGTTTAGTAGCATAGGATGTTCGAAATATTAAGCGCGAATATGCAATTTTCACCTTTTGAATCTGACCACATTTTTCTAAACAATATAAAATGAGTTTGTCTATTGAATTCATCACCTTTTTAGTCCATTTCCCCGACACTTTCCCCAAGCACCAATACAAGACGACAACTTCCAAAAACAATGAAAAGCAAAAGCATTTATTAGTTTGTAAAACTGAAATATATAAAAATACATATTGTTCTGAAAAATTTGCCACTACCAAAAATATAGCCAACATAAAAATAATCGACTTCCAAAGTCTCCGTAAAATTATGCAAACGTTTACACTGGAGATATAGTAAGATAGAGTTGTCAAGTTGACAATGGAAAAGTCTTTAAGTCAGGACTGAGTGGTCTGTCCTCAGGGGGAATGAACACGATATCAACAGTGCACATATACGTATACATGTATATGCACTGTTCTTACCAGTTCCAGATCCACCAGGGTCACAGATACTTTTTTTACCACATACTCCCAGATATTTCTCTGGTTATTACGAGCACATTAGTAATTTACTATCCGGCGAGAATTTTTGCACAGAAATGACGTCATTGGTCACTCAGCTGCCCTCTGGTAGAGAGAAATATGTATATTTCTAATACATATAGCGCTATACTAGTGTATGCTCAGATCCTGCACTATGCCAGCTAAAGTTGACTTCTTGATGGATATAGAAACTTTTCAGAGTGGGTCCAACACCCCGCTCATACAGATGTCTCTGATCTGAAAGGTGAAAAACAAAGGTATCAGAACTTNAGATCCTGCACTATGCCAGCTAAAGTTGACTTCTTGATGGATATAGAAACTTCTCAGAGTGGGTCCAACACCCCGCTCATACAGATGTCTCTGATCTAAAAGGTGAAAAATAAAAGTATCAGAACTTGAATTCAATGTTTTATTTATTTCCAGATAAATAATTTAGTTCCAAATGTATCATGACTCATTTTGATCACCATTCATCCTCTTTACATTTCAGAAGGTAATATCGACATACGGCACCTTAATTTGAAGGTTTTAATCGCTTTAAGGGGTCTAGGATATCAACGAAAAAGTCCAAAACTAATGCAGCTAATTAAATTTCCTATTAACTAAAGGATATGGTCTAGCAAGCAAAACAATTTTCCAAAGTTTGTAGTCACAGTGTAACACGAGTGACGTAATATCAGCGTTTTGGGGCTAAAATTGTCATTTTTTTAATCAAGATTTTCTCTTAAACAAAAAGCCCTATAAATACGATTGAAATAGCTATCTAAAGGTTAGCACAAAAACCAGTAAACTCTGTCAAGATTTTCTCTTATTATTTTTACGTTTGATTTTATTTTGATAAAACGTGAATTTTNCCTGATCTGTTAAAAAATGTTCCCGACGTTCCCTTCCTTTCTATCCTCTACAGATTTTACCCTTTTTTTTTTTTTGGAATGTGCTTGACCCTCTGGTTTGAGCGAGTTATGTTACAGGGTGACCCCCCCCCCCCACAAAAAAAAATTATAATAATAAAATGAAAAGGTACTGCAATAAAAATACAAAAGGTTGAAAGAAGTCCCTGTAGCCTGCAATTTCAAAAGGGAGACCAGTCCTTTATTATATAAAAGACAACCTTTTTATGCCATAGGGCCTAATGGAACATTATTGATTCAGAGCGGAACAAATGCACGTTTAACCCTCCCCACCAACATCCCCTTTTTAACGGACCTGATACGTGTAATGCACGTGGAAATGATTTCCACATTAACTAAATGACGTATACTTGACAGGCAGGCCTAATTCAAGGAAAAAAAAACTTTTGCTCCTCACACTCCCTTAGCAACTTCCTAAATACGCCAGTGGAAATATTGCGTCATTTTTATTTAATCTAGTTTAGTAGCATAGGATGTTCGAAATATTAAGCACGAATATGCAACTTTCACCTTTTGAATCTGACCACATTTTTCTAAACAATACAAAATGAGTTTGGATATTGAATTCATCACCTTTTTTGTCAATTTCCCCGACACTTTCCCCAAGCACCAATACAAGACGACAACTTCCAAAAACAATGAAAAGCAAAAGCATTTATCAGCTTGTAAAACTAACGTTAACACTGGAGGTACAATAATGTGTATAAAGTTGTCAAGTTGACGATGGGAAAATCTTTGAGTCAGGAATGAGTTGAGTGTTCTCAGGGGGAAAGAACACGATATCAACAGTGCACATATACGTATATATGCACTGTTCTTACCAGTTCCAGATCCACGAGGGTCACAGATACTTTTTTTTACCAAATACTCCCAGATATTTCTCTGGTTGTTATGGGCACATTACTGTCTAGCGAGAATTTTTTGCACATAAAATGACGTCATTGATCACTCATCTGCCCTCTGGTAGAGAGAAATATGTACATTTCTAATACATATAGCACTATACTAGTGTATGCTCAGATCCTGCACTATGCCAGCTAAAGTTGACTTCTTGATGGATATAGAAACTTCTCAGAGTGGGTCCAACACCCCGCTCATACAGATGTCTCTGATCTGAAAGGCGAAAAACAAAGGTATCAGAACTTGCATTCAATGTTTTATTTATTTCCAGATAAATAATTTAGTTCCAAATGTATCATGACTCATTTTGATCACCATTCATCCTCTTTACATTTCAGAAGGTAATATCGACATAAGGCACCTTGATTTGAAATGAAGGGTTTAATCGCTTTAAATGTCCGAATAGGAAAAAAACATGTCTGGGCACGGGCATTTTCATACGAATAGAATACATATTACTTCTAGTCAAATAGGAACATTTGACGAGGGAAACACCAGCAATAATTGTACGAGTGACTTTATTCTAAAAATCTTTCGCCAGACATATGACATGAACTATGTATAATATTTCTCAATTTTGTAGCGATTTATCAACAAGCAAATTTGGGACAATAAGATAACGTATGCAATCTGGTGTGGCATTGTGACATTTCACAAAAGAACTTACGTTCACAGACGGCGGGGCAGACAGGATGTAGATCAAATTGTCAGCTACTTCTTCGGGAAGAAGACACTGTAATAAAATACCGCACTCCAGTCAAACACTTTGTAGTTTTGGAAAATCCTGCACAAAAACTACAGTTGTCTATTTCATTGTACCACTGGGGTTTCAATTTCGGTCAATCATTAAAACTTCGATCCTTTAAAGCAATACGTTTCTTTTGTCTTCTACATAGGACACAGGCAGCTTCAAATACAACAGAATTTCGGTCAGGACACATTTTGAAACAGAAATACACAGTACCTGTCTCCGTCTGAACAACTGCTCCATTTTCTCCTTCCCAAATTCCGCTTCCACCCACTTTCTCGCCATTACGGTGTCCACCACAGCGGGGCTAATAGTCTGAAATTATTTAAATTATCAGTTTGTCAAACAACGTTTTCCAAGGATTTTGTTGCCGTTGTTATTGTGTTTTGGATATTCATATTTTGCTAAATCCTCAAAGATACCCACCAGTAACTGAAGGAATTTCTACTTATGCTAGAAAACTGGGTTTTGCCAGAAGAGAAAAAAGCTAAATATAGAAAGATGCGTTATTCCATTTACAGTAATCTTCATAGACGTGTTTTCAATCTTATTTATGCATGTTCTTTTACAAAGAATAGACCATAAATAAGATTTGTAGGGGAACAGAGAAAACTATTGTACTAAAATGGCATTACCAGTGCAATTTCAGAAATATTCTGAGAGAGAGAGAGAGAGAGAGAGAAAGGGAGGGTGCGGGGAGAGGAACTTACCGACACACGAATCATAGACTCCTCCGCTCTCAGACAAGCCCGCAGACCCTCTGTCAGACATTTCACTGCGTGCTTAGTAGCTGAATAAAAATGCATAGCTGCTATTTCACGGCAATAACGATGCCCAGTTATGCTGAAAAATGAAAATGAAAAATTTTGATCAGACGATTACAAAATTGTATTGACACTGAAAATAATTTCCAATAATGAAGTCGATTTGATATTGTGATTTGATGTTGATAGATCTCAATTTTGACATGAAATTTGAATCACAGCTAACTTAGTAAGCACAGAATCGCCGTCGATTCGGCTGTATGCCTGCATGCAGTGATTTTATTTTGCTTTCTTTTTATTACTGAAAGTCAAATGAGAACAATAATTCCTTGTCATTTACCTGCTTATGTGAATAATATGGCCATCATCGACTTTTCGCTTTTCATCGACTGCACAGCCAATTGGGTTACTATGGACAGGCCCATGATGTTGGTCTGAAAACGAAAATTCGGCAACAGTGAAACTTTTTTGTTAATAAATTCAGCAAAGATCACACCATGTTAAAATTTTCTGTAAGATGCAAAGTGGAACTGTCGCAAATTCGATTAAAAAAGTACCAGATATTTTGATCGTGTTTTCAGATTTATGTGTATGTTTGATTAAGGAAGTCGGTTAGGCTCAACTACCTTTCGAACCGAAAAACTAGTTATATGTTATATAAAAAGTACATGTAGGTCTGTTCATACCCGGTAACAGGGCCTTGTTTCACAAATGGGCAAAATTCGACCTACTGTAGGCTACTATTACATTTACTTTGATACCAGATAAATCAGAGGTCAAATTGGATGTAGTTGGGTGTCAACAACTAAGATGATACGAACATTCCAATTTTTCTCTGCACTCTGGTGGGGTGAAGACGATACTTTGGACTGCAGCCAAATGATAATACCCCCCTTTAAAAAATACGAACATCGGGACCATTCTCCTTTCGAAGATTACGGAGACACCCCAAATACTGCATATAGTCGGATACCACAGATTGATTTTTCACAAGATATTCACAGATATGTCTTTAGATAAATAGACGGTCATTTGGTTGTCCGTCAATAGAAATGTGGAAAACGTGCCTATAATATCTGCCACCCTAGTAGAGGGTAATGGTTAGCCCATGCCCGGTGCCATGTACCAAAGAACGGATAGAGCCTCCCATGATTGTTTCAGAAACCAGAGGTCCAGTAGATACATAGAGATTGGAAAAATGTACAGGGTTTTCCGCGGCCTACATTTGATGTTTATCATCACAATTTATCTGAGTTCGAAAACCCGTTTTAATTCACAGGGTCCGACGGACTATAGAAAGGCAGGACTCTGTGTTGCTTGAAATCGGTGTAACGAAACTGAGAGTCCGTATAACAGAAAGTCCGCCCTCTATATAGTTATAATGGTTAGGGTTAGTCTGACCCAAGTGGGTCAAAATCTAGGGCGAGGCTCACCTGTACAAGTGAATGGGGGACTACCTATCACGTTACACCGGTCTAAAATGGTAATACTCACGTCCACCATTTTCTGGAAGGTGTCGGTATCGCCACGGAGAAGCTGCTGAGTGGACAGATATTAACACATACGTCCACCCCAGAGACTTGGTCCTTTATGGCCCGGAACATGGATTCGATCTCAGATTTCACTGTCAGGTCACTTTTCATGGGGATCAAACGTCCTGCCTCTCCTTCCAATTCTTTTGCTGCCTTCTGTGAATAAAAATAGAAATTTGTATAACTTAAAAGTTAGGTAGTGTGCGTGTGCGCGCGTGTGTGTGTGTCCAGTGAAATCGATACACGGATATTCCTTTGGTGTGTAAAATGTTACATTATTATATAATGTCTCGTCTCGTGAAGTTTATTGGTATAAGTCTCGAAAGGCCATCGTATAAACACCTCTACATCTTACTGGTCTCTTTGCCTTTGTCACTCGGAACTACTCGGATGTCTCCGCACTCGACAATGACCTTGGACGTGATACGGAGGCATCCATATTGATTGTTGATTTGTTGGGAAGGAACTTCCCAGAGGACGCTTACGTATGCACCTGCCACACCCCCTTTTGAAATATTCTCGTAAAATTATCATGAATGATGATGACTTGGAAATTCAGTGTGTAAGCAAGCGGTAGCAATTGATAAGTGTAGAAGTCGTCATCCAATAAAAAGAATGCCCTTTGAGCTGTGACTGTTTTCAGCCCTTGTTTGTGGTTAGCTGCCCATATTATATTGTAAACAGCTAATGACCTAACATTAGAAGTATGGAGCTTGCGGAATGAGCCGAGGATTGCCGATTGTGCCTTTGTCTCCCGCCATTTTTTCTTGGAGCGGATAACAACCTTTTTGAAACCGAGGCCAAATCTAATATTTTCCTAAACCGTCGTACATGTGTGAGCTGGTGTCTTCGGGCTGCGAAGGTATGCAGATATTAAATATTATGTTTTACCGTAACACTAACATTAATGATAGTCAATATTGTAAATTAACGACCAGGTGATGTTATAAGTGTATTTAGTTCGCCCTGTGAACAAAATGTCAACTTGATATTGACACCTTGGGTGTTCAGAGTGAACCATGCAGTTTATTGGAATTGTGCATTTCAGAGTCAAAGGACAGTTAAGGTACTCGAAAATCCCACAAATCTTTCTTGCTTTATACTTCTACATATAGCTAGGTTAACATGAAATCGCTAAGGTATTGACAATATACATGTAGTAAAATTATAGGGAAAGTTTTTATTTTCAATGGAGCACCCAAATGAAATCCAAGTCCATTAGGTCTCAGTCACATGCTTTTAAACAACAATGAGCAAATCTCTAAAAAATTCTACTCCGACTAATTTTGGAGCCTGGTTCATAAGCTTATTATGAGTAGGGGCAGTGAGGTCACCTGTGTCTGGATCATGAAGGAACAAATTTTTCTTTCAGTTGAATGCCTCGGCCAGAATCAGTTTCAAAAAATTATGTCACAAAAGAAACTAAAAAGTGTTTTGGATGTTGGCATCGTTAGCCATGACCTTCACACATGAAACTTTATGATCTTGGTTTGCTCTGGCTCATGTTGGCCACTTTGTACAATGGGTAAGAAAATTCTCTCTCAGGACCAAGTGACCATTAGATCTATAAAATATCAGTCAATGAATCAATGTTATTGGCTAGTCTATCATGCTGTGAATGCACTGAAAACCTAAACAACCTGTTACGTCACAATGGCCTCATGTAATAGTGGCACCAATGAAAATTGGACTTTATTTGGGGTAATGATAATATGGAGTGTCTGTGCTCTCCAATGATACCATTTATATGGGCTAACAAAGTTCCTAACATAAGTAACTTATGTGAGAACAAATACTTGCTATATATATATATATATATATATATATATATATATATATATATATTCCTTTGGTAAATTCACCTATAGCCTACGGCCAAAACAGCTGTTTAAGGAAAGCCTTCTAGACAGCCTGAATGTCTCCATTGCTTTGTTTTTTGTTTTTTTTTCTTTTTTGTTTTGGCCTGTGACTTAGCTTCAGATTATAAAGATAATATGCTGTAGGCAACTCATTTTCAAATTGTTCCATTGGTTAGAGAAAACATCAGCATATCCTCCAATATTCAGAGATGGCATTTTCCTCAAGAAAATCCAAGAATGTTACAACAGTTACAACAGGGCTAACAGTTGCTGGAGGAAAGATAGCCAGTGGAATCATGACATTTGCATATGCACAGACAAAGTTACACTACTGTACAGGCTCATTCGGAGGTTAAATATGCTAAACATAACCCTAATTGGGACCCGAGATGCGCATGCGTGTGCAACTTTACATTTGATTAATAGAGCATGTAAAAATTGTGCTGAAAGGAATACTGAAGCGTGAACATTATGAGCACTTTATGACATTTAGTGCTGCTATGGCAATTCTTGTTTATGGAAGGATTTCAGCAGTCCACAATGATTATGCAAATGAACTGCTTACATATTTTGTGTCACAAGGCAAAGTTTTGTATGGTGAGGAATTTATGGTTTACAACGTGCACTGTTTACTGCATTTATCATCAGATATTGTTTAGTATGGCAGTTTGGAAGAATGCAGTGCATTCCCATTTGAAAATTATTTACAAAAACTCAAAAAGCTGGCTCATTCTGGAAAAAACTTTTAAAGAGACGTGATGAGCAAGACACTTTTCAAAAAATCTCCACCACTGTACCAAAGAGTATCCAATTTAAACATCCAAATAATGCATATGTTTTAAGTAACTTGAGATGCTGTGAAGTTATTTCTGAAGTGAATGAATTAGATCACATGAATCAAAAGAAAGTACTTTGTTGAACCTATGAACAAGCTCATTCACATTTTAACTATCCATGTGACTCTAAGCTGATTGAGAATTATGTGGGCCATTCAAGACATGCCCGTATGAGGATTCTAAGTAGAACCGAAATACTGAGACCTGCTGTCATGATTAAAGTTGAACTGCAGGCTAGATACCTCTTCCGTGCCATATTGCATGATTTCTAAAGCAGCAGTAGGAGGGGTGTGGTCTGATAACCCAGTTTGCTCAGTTATGTGGTGCATTTCATCACTGAATAAAGCAAGTTAATGTAGTTTGAATCAATTTGTCATATTAGAAATCATTATTACTAATATGACACGTCTCCACGTGTTTCATATGTCTTACTTAACATGCTTTATTTTTAATAAATAGATGGATAACAGAAGAAACACATTAACAGAAGACTCATTTATAATTGTGCTTTTCCCAGAAGAAGGGTCTGTCGCATTGATCCGAAAGTCATGGATTGAAAGTACAGAAAATGATGGAGATGTAAGTTGTAAATTTCAGACAAGTTTTTTTTTTTTTTTAAAGAGGGTCTGTTTTTTACTTTAATTAGATACTTAAAATGTAAAAATGGAATTTTCCTGAAATTTTCCTGCTTTTTCCATGATTTTCAAGTTACACCATGCCCAAATTTTGTGTCAAGTTTTGGAGATCATTTTTTGAAATGAAAAAAGTAGCACTTTTTTTTTACCCCACACTGTTTGAATCTTTGTGGGGGTACCATGGGTAATTTTATTTTGCACACTAATAACCTTGTAATCCAAAGGCTACTTGATCAATTTTAGTTTACATGATTATGATATATTTTTATGTTTTTTATATATATATTTATAAAACAAAGACACCCTTGAACATATCATTTCCACTGCATTTTGTGATAGTTAATATTTAATAGCCATACTCAGGGCAAAGAGGGCACCAAAATTCACAGGTAAGGAATTTTCCTTGAGAAAACTGCAGTTTTCCTGGTCGACTTATCAATCCTTGTTTGGCCTAATTAAATCATCAGTTTAAACTATCCAAGAGCAATTTCCCAGTGTAGTGAGTGAGTTTCTTATGTTAATAAAGTGTTGAATTCATCCAACCAACAGATCATATACAGTATGCAAAGCTTAGCAGTAAGTTGTATTTTTCAAAAAAAAAAAAAAAAAAAAAAAACATTGTGTTTACCAAACTTTTAAGTTTGAGAAAGCTAAGAGGAATGGAAATTTGACATATAAACAAAATTCACAAACATGTAGGAGAACAAAATTTGCCCTAAGTAAGCCTTAAATCTGTTAAAGGCTTATTAAGGACAAATTTTGTTTATTTGATAATAGTGAGCTTTTATTCCTCTTAGCTTATTCTCAGTGTTAAGAGTGGGGTAATCACCATAGTCTGTTAAAAAATATAATTTACTGCTAAGCTTTACATAATGTAAGTTATGTGTAGGTTGTGAGATTTTGACATAAGACATTTTAAGAAACTCAATCTAATGAGGAAATTGCTGTTGGATAGTTTAAATTGCTGATTTAGGTCAAGCAAGGAGCATTGAGTCCAGGAAAATTGCAGATTACCCAAGGGAAATTCATTTTCTATAGGTTTTTGCATCTTTTTTGCCCTGAATATATCTTTAATAATATTTTGCAGGAAATTCGAGGAATATGTTGGTGGCCTAGTGGTAAACGATCACACACAACTGCTTTGAAGAGGGCATACGTGCCAGACAAATTTATGTGGACAAGACACCATATACGTATTTTAGGATACGCTGGTAAGATTAAAGAGCTAGTAGCATTTATTTTATTTTATTTTTTCATGTTAGTCACAGTTATAAGTCAGTAAGCAAGGTACTAGTACAACATTACTGGTACTACTGTATTTATCACTACTAACATACGGTATGTGTGGATATTTACCTCTGATGGTATGCATGGACTTAATTTGAAAATATTTGATATTGTTTCAGATACCTATGAGGAAGCTTTAGAGAAGCTGAAAATTTCAGAGGACACATCAAATATTGACTCCCCAGCTAAAGGGAACTCTAAAGAGAGAAATGATGATGGTTAATAACCTTAATCATGTTAATGTTGAGCCACTCAGTGCTAACTCAGTAATTTATAGTAACCCACAAATTGTTCCTTTTGCACATGTTTAATTACCATTTTCATCTATTATCACATATTTCAATACAGTTATGCAGTACGTTATCATTGTACCACCAATGCGTTGCTGGCAGTACACATGGTTTTAGTCCCGACTGGTATCGTCTACTGGCTTTGCTGGCCCCTTCTCCATTGGGTCCGCCAGCTCCGTTGCCACGTCACTGTTACCACCTCGATCTCCTCCTAAACCACAAGAGCCCCTGTATCCATCCCTTGTATGTAGGTCAAATATCATCTCAACTTGATCAAAAATGACATTATTTCATGAAATTCGAACATCTGGAATTTCTGAGCACCTCCCATTTCATGAATTTTAACCAAAATGACCTTTTCTTTATTTCAGTTAATTTCTTCTGTATGAAATTTATGTCACATTACTGTAACTCCAAAATTGCAACATTTTAGCCCCTTGTATCTCCAAAACTGGCAGAGATAGGTCCATAGTTACTATTGAAGTTGAATAGGCAGTCACATACTGGCAATCTAACTGTGACCTTCAAATAGACCTTTGGCCTACCTTTCACCGTGAACTGAACTTTGAAACATTTTAGTCCCTTATATCTCCAAAACTGGCAGAGATATAGGGCCATATTTAACTATTGAACTTGAATAGGAAGCCATATACAGGCAATCTAACTGTGATCTTGCATGATATTGCCCTTTGACCTACTTTTTACAATAAGCTGATCTTTGCAAATTTTCCGTTGCTTATATCTGCAAAACTGGCACAGATATGCCCATTGATACTACTGAACTTGATTAGGAACTCGTATATTGAGTCTCCCTGTGACCTTGAATTTTACCCTTGACCTCCTTTCCGCCATGTACTGCACTTCACAAATTTGGATTTGACCTTTACTTTTCCCCATAATTTTGTTTTAAATTGTAGTTTTCAACAACAACAACCACAACCAAAAAAATCAACACTGTTGTTAATTGCATTTTGTAGAGCTTGTCAAGTGCAAAACTGGAGGTGTTGTTCTTTTTTTTTTTTCCCCGGGAATGCGCTTGCTCCAGCTGATTGTACAATACTTGGAGGCAGTATCACCTTTCTGATCCTCTAGTTAGCTTATTATTGTAGATAATTTTCCTGATGAGGATGTAGAATATGAAGATGCAGGTGAAGATGAAGTAGAGGCTAAAGAAGATGGAGAAGTGCCTGTGCCCAAAGGTAAATTTCCTCAATCAGAGAATAACAAAGTTCCAAAATTGCCAAAGCCACCTATGCTCAGGCCCTTACCACTTATAGCACATCCCAAAAGTTTTTGCACTTCACATAATTATTTAAAGAGTAAAATTGTACAACATTGTTATGATTATATTGCAGAAGGAAGTGATGATTTTATAAGTGTTTGGATCGTGTGTCACTCACATGTTTTTACGAGCAATAATAAAAAAATGGCATAATACTGAGTGCATATGTTAGGAAACTATTTCATAAAATGTAAAATTGCATAAACCTGAATATGTATATAAAATGTAAAAAACAACTGTTAAGTAGTTACATGTTGCTTAGCTAAAAAATCCAGCATATCAATCTCTATAAATTTATTATATTAATGGGTCAAGTTTATTATGCTTTATACCTCCATTGTAGATTTGAAAACTCACCTGAAACAAAAAGCCTGCATCTTAATGTTAGTGGCAAGTTTCTTTCAAAAATGTTTTAGTGCAAAATCTTACAAAACACTGATCTAAAAACTTCTTCATCTATTATTTTCTTCAAGGCTGCATATTGTACAACCCGGAAGACAGTCATGCAGTAAAGATAATAATTATATCCTAACACTACAAAATACAAAAAATATACCTTAAATTTATTTCTTATTTTTTTCCAGAGCTCTTTTTTTCGTCTCCATTACCATCACAAAGTAAAAGTAGCAAACCTAGCCAGGATGATAATAGTAAGTGCAACTTATCAGTAATTTTACTAAATTGGTTTTAAATGTATTGGATCTGGTTACATTTGACTAATTTATAAATACTTCATTAAGAGTTATCCCAGTTTGTTTAATCACCCTGTAATGTCAATTCCAGGTCCAGCAGAAAAGTTTTGTTCTGATAGTGGTAAGTTGTCCTGCTAAATCAAGTACATATAGGGATACTTGTAAGTTTTATAAATTTAGCTTTTTAATCTGACCCATGCGTGTATTAATGCATGTTTTTTGTTCTATACGCGGTTTGGACTTTATTAAAATACAAGTAATTGTGTTGGATTTTGATGTAAATACTTGAATTACACATTTTTTCTTCAACATTTTATATTTTAATACAGAATTCAAGCAAAGGATGCTCTTTAAATTGGAAGAGATCATTGCTAACCAACATGAGGAACTCTGTCTTTTGCGACGTATAATTGCGGAAAAAAATGCAGAGGAAGAAGATGATGCTTTCGAATTTAAAAAGTTGATGGATTATGATGATCTCAAATCATTAGAGGCTAAGCTTAATGAGGATATGTTGTACAAAAGAAGACTGGTAATTATGCACCTAATTTTGATATCAAGGGGTTTTTTCATAACTACATGTTCAGTTGGACATGGTTGATGTAGTACTTGAGACACTTGCAGTATAGTGATGGATGTGCAAAAAATAGTACATAAGTGCTAGGTTTACTGTATATAAAAGTTAAAAATTAGAAGTTCAAAGGGTTTTAACTCATAAGCTACTTCATGGGGCCTCAGAGGCCCACTTCCAGTTTCTAACGCTACTCTGAAAAACTCGGCTGTTCATGTTTTCCTCGAGTTACCTACCTTTTATCACCACACAAACTGATTTCATTGTCTTGGGAACTGTTTCCAAGGTAATCCAATTTAGGTAGTATGTACCCCTTAAACGCCCAACATGGCCCAGGTCCACCCCCTGGCAAAACAACAGGATTTGGTGCCATATCGAAATTTTCCTGAGAATATGTTTCCATGCTCCAATACACAGTTGCTAATATATTGATAATTTATGTCCCGTAAATAAATGCCAAGTCTTATACCATGTCATTGTGAGCATTCAGCATATACTTTATGTCATTATATGCCCTTGAGACCTACCCCAAATTAGCTACTTCTGCCTTAAAATCCTCCATTTTTAGGATAGAATCTCAAAATCACCATATACATGACAGCTGTGTTGATACCATTAGCAATTCATATGTTCAGAAGAGTGGGCCCTGGCGTGTGGGCCTCTGAGGGCCGCCGAAGGTGGATAAAGGGGTACAAATGATGAAGTAGCTTAGGGGTTAAAGTGTCTAAAAAGATGGCAGAAAGAATCGGGCTGCCTGTATGGGGGTGCAGGATGCGCAGACTATTCTGTGTGTGTTAATGGATAAATATTGTGACTTAGTTTAAAACTTTCTTTTGATGATACAGAGACAATACCTCAGCACCATTGGGGGGACCCATGTCAAAGACTCTGTAAAAAGAATGATCCAGATATTGGGATCTAACAGACTGTGGGCCAAATTCAGCTTCAAAGGGCGAAAGGGAAAGATGCCCTTTAGCAGTTTGGCTATTTGTGCAGTTATTATCAGTAAGTATGTTTATTTATAGAATACAACAATAAGTTTTATTTTCAATCATTACAAACTTGCGTTTGTTTTATTTCTTATTGTGTGATCTAGTTATTCAGTAATTATGAAATGCTATTTGTATATTGACTGAATATATTTTAATTATCCAGAGGCATATAGGAAAAATAACCCCAAAGTAACCTTGTTGGAAGTAGAAGAAGCCATCAGCGAGTTTTTAAAGTATGCCCCCAAAATGCAGGGTGGCCCAAAGTACAAGGTATGTGTATCAACTAACGTTAGGAATGAATTTAAGGCCATGTGATAAGGATATTATAAAAATTGTGTACATTTTGCATACGAAGTAATTGGCATGCTATAAGGGCCATTAAGGAGCCACAATACCTTATAATTTATTTATAACCTTGTATAAATACCTCTATGAAGGTGAAATAGTAATGGAAAATATGTTTAATCAAACTCCATTGAATGTTTATTGTATACTTAAAAAAGAATAGATAATAATTTTGGAAGATGTTATTGACATGCTTATATTACATAAGCAAATTGGATTGGGCTATGTCAATAGTATTGAGTGCTTACAGTACTGGTCAGTCATGGATACAGACAATGGTGGTAGATGCTGTGACATTTTCGTGACGTGATAATATTGCATACCTCCACTTGTAGTTAGCGTATAAAGGTTAGTAAGTAATGGATGATTTTAGAGTAGAAATTCCTAACCTGTGTAGGTGCCTTATCAGGGTTATACAATTGTACGTGGCATCCACGTTTATAGTAACGTTGCTCCCACGTTATGTGTAACATGGGGGGGGGGGCATTGGGGGTTGTTTTTGGTGACACTATAATTGAAAAAAAATCTGTGGCATGTGCTGCAACAACCTTTGCAGGGATTTACAAATGCCTTCACCTAAAATTACCTTGATAAGTTACCGCATACATCAAGAGAAAGCACAGCATTTGGACCATCTGTATCATAACTGTGTGGTATGGAAAGCATCCTCTAAAACTTGAAAACTGGATTCATGCTGACATTTTTTTTTGCCTTTCAGGGTAAAGAAACATGCACAAATCCAAGAAGTGAATCAAGTGATGAAAATGAACCACAGGCTGTGTAAACATTACATCTATACCTACATGACTCTTGCTTGGTCTTGTTGAATAAGCAAATCCCAGGATCTCCTTACCTTCTTTGCACTACCTTTATCAAATAAACCATTGCTCGGCTGGCGACTAAAATGAATTGGATGTAAATAATAATAATACAAGAAAATAATAATAAACTTGGGGGTTTTGTTGTATCTAAACTACTTTTTATCTAATATTCAGAGGGATATTATAGTTTTTTATACTTGCAGTTGGAAAAAAAATTAAAATGGAAATAAAATGAAAATAAAAAAGGAAGTATTTTTCTCAATGTTCCTACGATGCATATATTTGTATGATAGATCATTTAGATGAATGATCTCTCTCTCTCTCTCTCTCTCTCTCTCTCTCAGGAAACATTTAAATCAATGATTTGCATGCAAATTGCTCCGGTTGCAACTAAAGCAATCACTTCGCTGAGCCGCCACATGTCAACAAACTGCGAAACGCATTTGCCTGAGAAAGGAAAAATAGATCAAAATATAAAAAGTGAAAATAAGTCTTCTATGCATAAAACGACTGTTGTGGCTTTGAAACCCTCTCGAAGTGTCTTGGGGTGCTTTCCAAGAGATTTAGATCGATCTAAAGATGAAGATTTAGATCGACCTAACTCCCTGGGGGTTCACGCTAAATTGCAGTCAGCCGAGCGGGCACCATAGTTTATTACCCCCTTACAGCTTTTAGTAGGCGGGACAGACGCTTAAGCCGGCCAAGCTGACAGTAATCTAGTGAGACTCCCCACAGGGATAGATCGATCTAAAAATCTATGGAAATGGGGTGTTGATCACACGAATAACTGGCTGGTCACATGAAGTAAGGATGATCGGTGATGCAGGATCAGAGTGGTTTTCCTCAAAGGCTATTGAGGAAAAAAAAACAAGTCATAATTTTAAAAAATCAAGTTACTGTATGTTTATAAGCAATACATAAGATGTAACGAAAAATATACATTTCACCATAAATAATGAATGCCAATGTATATCTTGCATGTCATGGTTAAAGGTACATACGAACCATGCATCGGTGGAGCGTGGATTCCCAGTAACACTTCTTCTAGTTTCTTTTACGACTCAAATAAATTCGACATGCCAAGGGATATTTGAGTAGATCACTCGATCAGCCATAAAAGAGCTTTAGACTGCTCCTTTCTTTAAATTTTTGGTGGGAAATTTAACCTACTTTCGTGACCTACTTTTCTGCCCCATTGACATACTAGTACAGTATAGAATGCTAGCAGAAATATCCGTTCAAACATCATTTTCGGGTAAAATTAAACGATGCCTTTGGTAATTCTCTTAGTTATACTACTTGAAACTATATGCTGGCATTCGGTCGGTTTTTGTGGCAATAAGTAACATGGGGGTGCAACGTTAATTCCACGTAAAAAATGGTTACAAATTTCCGTGGAGACCACGTTTATAGTTACATCAATGATGTAACGTTGAGCTGAAACGTGTATTCCACGTTCATACCTCTTACAAGTTTACGTGGGAACCCCGTTCAAAGTAGCGTTTCTGCCAGGTTATAGGAACGTGGAGCAAACATGAAAACCACGTTCAAACCTCTTCCACGTTTACGTGGGAACCATGTTCAAAGCTACGTTGCTGCCACGTTATAGGTAACGTAGGGGTGCAACGTTTATTCCCCAGAAAAAATGGTTACAAGATTACGTGGGAACCACGTTCAAAGTAACGTTGCTGCTACGTTATACGTAACATGGAGCTGAAACATGTAGTCCGCGTTAATACCTTTTACAAGTGTACGTGGAAACCACGTTCAAAGTTATGTTGCTGCCATGTTGCCATAGGAACCACGTAATCTTGTAAAAAATATAGGTAACGTGGCGGTGCAACGTTCATTCCCCGAAAAAAATGGTTACAAATTTTACGTGTAAACCAAGTTTCAAGTAACGAGCTGAAACGAGTATACCATGTTCATACCGCTTAAGATTGTACGTGGGACCCACGTTGAAAGTGGCGTTGCTGCCACGTTATATGTAACGTGGAGCTGAAACGTGTATTCCACGTTCATACTGCTTACAATTGTACGTGGCATCCACGTTTATAGTAACGTTGCTCCCACGTTATGTGTAACATGGAGCTGAAACGTGTATTCCACGTTCATACCTCTTACAATTGTACGTGGGATCCACGTTGAAAGTTACGTTGCTGCCACTTTTCTTTGTTACGTAATTTTGACGTTGTTTACGTATAGCACGCTTTTGGGCAATCGCATGTCTTCAACACATCACCAACGTGACGTATCCTAGGAGTTTGTTCTTTTACCTTTTGTTCATAATCCCCGAGGAAAGCCCAGGGGCCGAAAGCTCAGATTGTATTTAACAACTATAATGTAGATCTTTCTAGGTGCATCAATATATATACTTCTATTCCCACGTTATGTGTAACGTTGAGCAGAAACGTGTATTCCACGCTCATACCGCTTACAATTGTACGTGGGATCCACGTTCAAAGTTACGTTGCTGCCACGTTATAGGTAACATGGAGCTGAAACGTGTATTCCACGTTCATACCTCTTCCAA